AAAAAAAAAAAAAAAACCGAATGCAGAGATGTATCATGAGATGAATTGCATAGCTTATAGCCACTTGAAGAATATACATGGTGTTTAGCTAAATTTATAGACGTGGGATAAAGTCATTTGCTAAACGCCACCAAAAAATTCTGACCTTTAAAGGAATATTTAATGTCCACAAGAATTTTCACTTCTGAAGACTAATTGCAAATTGGCTTGCGGGGGGAACGTAAAAAAAAATAATAAATAAACAAAAAATGCCTTGTTTTTATAAGTTTTATTGAATAATTCACATAAATTATGTGGTACACATAACATTTTTCTAAACTGGTGCACAAATTTTGGTGTGAGTTAGAGATTGATTGTTATATCTTTTTTTTTAACAAAAATATACATTTATTTTATAAATTACTATATATATGTGTTAAAATATATTTATATATAATATGTCATACAATTATCTATTTTATTTTTCACAAGTATGACATTCCAATGTTAAAGTACACATTGTACGGGGCATCAACCGAACTGCTGGAATTTGTACCGAATCGAAGGCAATTCGTTCAAACTCGAACCCGTTGAAGATTGGAGAGAGGGAGCAGTTCGAACAGGCGAGGCGGATGCAAACTATCCTACGATCAATTAATGGACGGATGGCTAGGTCGGACAAACGAACATGGATAGATGGCTCGATAGGGTGAATCATATCTTTGGATAATTCGTACGATCAATTAATGATGATGGGATATAGGAATTCGTGATCTAAAAACTTCTACTCGTGCAAATTGTACCAAGCACTCCAAGTAGAGTACAGTTCATTTGTTTATTGTTGACATTTTCATACATCAATAAACACATATATTGAAAAGGTCCGGTACATTTATTTATTTTATTTTTGAAAGTATGACATTCCAATGTTAAAGTACACATATATATTCAAAATGTCTCATACATTTAACGAAGAGGGTTTAGCGCAGTGACGCATACCTCGCTCGGCGTAACGCAGATCCCGAGTTCGAGTCACCGGAGGAGAATTGGGGAAACTGTATTAATCCTCCTGTGTGTGTAGAAAAAAAAAATGTCTCATACATTTATTAATTTTATTTTATAAAGTATGTCATTCCAGTGTTGAAGTACACATATATATTGAAAAGATCTCAAATCTTAAAATTGGGAAGCTGACATTGAGCACCACAGTTTTTGCCTATGTGGATAATACAACACATATACTAGCTCGGTGAATCGGTTAGGCATTAATATTTTCATAGCTCCGACAAGCACCTAGCAACTATTAGAATGAGATACATGTTATATGTACATAATACTCCACATAGTAAAAATGCTACATGTACATAATAAACGTACATAAAGATGTACATAACATTAACATGGAGTGGGATCCACTTGATTTTTTTTTTATTTTAGTAGGTCCCACTAAATGTGAGTTTTATGTACACCTCTATGTACAACATTATGTACCTATAGCATTACTCATCTACATAGAGGTGTACATAATACTTACATTAAGTGGGTCCTACAAAAAATAAAAAATAAATTGGAAAATGCTACAAGTACATAATAAATGTACATAACACTCACATTGAGTGGGGTCTACTCCCACTCAATGTGAGTGTTATGTACAGCCCTATGTACAATATTATGTACCTATAGTATTACTCAAAAAAATTAAGTGGACACAATTACATATGAGTGTTATGTACACCTCTATGTACATTTAGTATGTACTTGTAGGATTTTTCTTAAAAAAAAAAAATTAACTGTTTAACAGTTAGGTATGTCAACGGAAAATGATAAATAGCTTGTAAAATAAACAAATAAATAACATGATAGCATTTAATTAGTACAATAATTATTATATTAAACCAATATTCCTCCATTTTTATCTTTTTCTTTTAATAAGAATAGAATTACAATTTAATTTGTGTGGACGTTCTATTTTTTTTAATTGGTTAGAATTATTTAAAACTAAATAAAGATGCGTTTTTTTTTTTTTTGGGATTGTTGTACACTTAAAAATAAAATAAAAAAGTAAATAATTTACACTCTTTTTCAAGATGTGGAAATTAATTTAATTTAAGCACACTACTATCAAACGGCTTAACTATTAATTCTCAAACTACCATCTAAAGTTTAAATTAACTCTAAAAAAATTGTACCAAAAAAAAAAAAATAAAAAAATTAACTGCAATAAATACACATTAAACACATATCAACACATAAAATTATAAATGACTACATAAAAGACCATCCGATGGCTCCAAAGCACTTCTGCTGAATACTTATAGAACTAAAAGAGAACCTTTTGCAAGCTTTTTATTCAACTCCAAATGTACATTTCTTCACAAGTATGCTAGGCATACCATGTGATGAAATCATTTATTTATTTATTTATTATTTATCACAATAATCAATCAATTTCATATGTATATGAAACTCATGTAACTTGTACTAAATACATGTGTATTACATCTTTGATCATGTAGGGAATAAAAAATAGAGATATGTACTGCACAATTGATCAAACTCCTAATTAAAATTTAAAACAATTATTAAACCTAAGAATTTCACAAACAAATATATGTAATTAAGTTTGTGTACACATTAATCTCTTTGTTGGCTGCAGCTTTGCTTGACATCTTTTCCATGTCTTACCTTTTGTTGTGTGCCTTTTCATTAAACCTCTTCCCTTGAGCTTTACTGCTCTCACCTCTCAACTCAATTTCTGGTCCCCCAACTTCCTTTATTCGGCTTTTCGCCACCCCTCCGCTCGTCCCGGAAACCGAAGTTCCATTTTCGCCCCTCGTGGCTCGATTTTCCACGCTTAAATGCAGCTTGCTGAGATCATCAGCGGCAGCCGACGCTTTTTGGCGCCGCTCGTCGGTTGGCTCTCGGGTTGCGTGCTTCTTATTGCTCGTGCCTTTCTCGTGCTCGGAGAAGAGGATTTGAACCACCGTCCGAAGAGGTAGGCGCTCGTTTCTAACCGCATGGGCCCGCGCCTCCGGCGAGAGCTTCCAGCAGTCGAGCATCCCGCACAACCGTCTCTTGTCCGTCTTGCTCGTGTCCGGATGCTCCTGCATGCGGCCGAACAGAAATTCGTCGTCATTATGTTCTTTTAAATTTAATTAGAAGTACATTGAAAACAAGAATGATCATATTAGAAATTATTTTTACTTTTGAAAGTAAGTTAATATGAAAAATTAGGTAAATTCGATCCTACCGATGTAGACACTGATTTATAAGTTGGATCACACATACCTACATCTATAGATCATGTGTGTGTCAGTCTGTTAATCCAATGGCTAAAAACTCTGTGTCATTTGCATGCAAGTATCGATTAAAATTTTTCAAAAATTGGTGTAAATAAGATAAAAACGCTATCAAAATGTCGGACTCGAGCCGGGGCAGGCCAAAATTATTCACTCCGATTCGTTCACGGCCCGTGCCATCTAGTAAAAGTAGTCGAAACCCCATTCGGGCCGAGCCCGTAAAAAATCGAAAAAAATTGAGTATCCTTTTTGATTTACCTTTAGGTAGATATCAATGGCCTTGTAGAGCTCGTCGTGGCCCGGCCTGGCGGGCCCCGGCAAGCTCTCGATCACTCGAACAACCTTTTCGACCGGCAACTCCTTGTCCCCTGCAATACCTTGCAAATACCGATCGATCGTCTTCCCGACCCCACGAATCGAACAAAACAACGCCTCTCGTTCGGCTCCTCCTCCTGCGGCCGCGGCCCGTTTCCTCCACCGCCTCATGTAGGCCCGCAAAACCGAGACGACCATCTCGGTATCATGGCCCGCTAGAAGCAAGTCGTCCGGGCCCGCCTCGTCCAGCTGGCGGGCCGAGAGCCGCATGAGCTCTTCTTGGGCTGCGCGGGATTTGATCCCGTGGGACCTCGACAGGCCCAACAACCTCAGCAAGAACCTAACAGAGACGGACCCTTTCTCGGCCGGGATCAAATTCACGGTCATTTCGAGAATTTTCTTCTTCATTTTCATCGTGTCGGATTGAGAAGTCGAGGCGTTTCCGTTTTCGGGCCCGAGAAGATGGCGGCACGCGTAGACGTGTAGGGCCTCACCGGCGAGCTGTGGAAGTATCACGTTCGACGAGGTTAGTGTCGTAATTACGCGCTCGAAAATGTCGGGCCTGAGGAGGGCAATGTCCTCGGTCCACCAGTCCTTGGGGGCCGATGAGTGGCGGCGGGCCTCGTGGCCGGGCCGGGTATAGGTGTAGGACCAAGTGACCTGAAAGAAAGTGGTGGTTGCATTGAATCAGATTGCAATTAGTGTAAAAAAATGGGGGAAAAAATGTCCAAAATTTGCTCAACCAAAGTCAAATATATATCTACACATTTATTTGTTCATCGAGTCGAGTTGAACAGAAAATTAGGCTCGTTTAATAATCAAATGAACACGGTTCGCAAACATTAATTTAAGATAAATCTATTTTATTTTTATATTTACATGTGTGGTTTTTTTAATAAAAAATATAATATATGAAAATATTTTTTATTTTCTTTTATTTTTGAGCTCGAACGAAACAGATCTTGAGTTAATCAAACAATTTTTTTTTTTTTATTTCCATTTTAAAATGTTTCCTAAATTATTCGAGCACAAATGAATTAAACGAACGAGCTCGAACACAATTTTTTACTCTAAAAACAAGCGAACGAACACGAACAACATTCGGACATAATTGAACACGAGCTCGAAGTGCTCACGTTCGGCTCGCTCGATTCGATTACAGCACTACTCTATCAAGGGTGCAATTGAATTATAAAAAGTAACTGAGACTTTTTCATTATTAAACTAAACTCTAGGGTAACTTATGCAATTAACCAAAAAATTCATGCATGACCACTAATAATACACTTCTAGGAGGGGGGAAAAAAGGAAAATTCCAACCTTTGCCGGAGGAGTCGAGATCTTGTCGACGATCGACTCTATGCACCTTCTCACGACACCGAGATTCTCACACCACTCGTACGCACCCTCCGTGTTCCGAAGCGTGAGCACCGAGTCCTTCCATCCCTCGAGAATGCACGACGAGAAAAAGGTCTCGAGCTTCTTCACAAAGTTTCCATTCTGGGAAGACTCGGTCATCCGTAGGAACCTTGCTGCACAGAATGCCGGGACAAAATTGTTGGCGCTTAGCTCGATTGTGATCCCGTAGCAGAACTTGGCGCATAGCTCGAACGCCTCATCCCCTCCCGGGATGTCGTGCAGGTCCGCAGCGAAGCTTCTAGAATCTTCCGCTGAGGAGACGAGACGTTGCAACAGGCCGCACTTTGGGAGAAGGGCGTGCTGTAGCTAGGCGGAAAAGAAAAAAAATGAAATTGCGAATAGGCCCCCCCAAGTTTGCTATATTACGAAAAGGCACGACTCGTGGGGGCGAAATTGGTGGATGATAGAAATTGTGGGGTGGCTTTGTGATTTTGGAAGTTAGTTCTTGCGTTTATTAAAAATGCGTATGCGCGTGAAAGAATGTCGAATTTGCGAATAGCTCCATCGTATTGTGCTAAATTACGAGAAAGCCCGACTCTTGGGGGTGAAAAATTTGTGAAAGGGGGAAGAAGTGGTGGAGGTGTTTCTTTCTTCTTTTTTTTTTTTTGCAACTTGAAAGACAAATTTTGTATATTACTTCTGCTTGAAATTGCAAACAGGTCCCCCTCGAGTTTGCTTGCTACATTACAAAAAAGCCCGACTCGTGGGAGTGAAATTGGTGGATTCAAGAAATAGTGGGGTGGTTTCATAATTTTGAAAAATAAACTTTGGTTTTTACTAGAAATTCTCAAGCGCGCATGGAAGGACTTTGAAATTTCAAATAGTGCCCCTACAGTGTGCTAAAATACGAGAAAGCACGACTCTTGGGGGCGATTCGAAAGGGAGATAAACTGTTGGAGTGATTTGTAAAGTTGAAAGATTACTTTTGCTTGTTTATTCTGCTTGTGTTCTGATTTCTGAATATTACCTGATGGAGAAGGTAAGTCGTCCCGTTTATCCGAATCGTGAGATCGCTTGGCACATCTGATAATACCGTCCTACAAAGCATCGAAAAAAAACCGGGCTTATTAGCTGCACGCTGTTAACTATTTTACGCACAGAAATATCAGCAACTTGACGAGTTTTCGGCTCACCTAATCGCTTCCTCTGTGTAGAAAGTGTCGAGCCGAGTCCCAAGTTTCATAAACTTCATTTTTTCGGCTATGAAAAATTACGCGCTTATGAAGAAATTCTCGAGCAAACGGCTCATAGAATCGACTCGATTTTTCCTATATTATTATCAAAGTAGAGAAAACGATATCTGATGATCAAATATTAGCTGCTGCATATATATAATATAAGTACTCTGTAGCTAAGAAGCCTCAAAGATAATTAAGCTACTAATGAGTATTGAGTCCTAAAGGTGACATTTGCAAGACATAAATGGGAAAATAATTAATTAAAATAATTGGAAAAAAAAGGCTAAATACTATATGTGACTTTACAAATAACAAAGCTAAGGAGATAATTATGTCCTAAAAGAGAAAAAAAGAGAGAAATATAAATTATCAGCAGTTAATTTGGGTGATGGGCAGAGGACAAAGGTTGAAAGGAACTTGTTTGGCTCTCTCTGGTTATTTTTATAGGAGAATGCTACCATCCCGTAACGGGACGGTTCCGTTGTATTTCTTAAACGTAGATTATATACACATTACTAGATTACATGTATATCTACGGCTACAAAAATACAACGGAACCATCCCGTCACATTCTCATATTTTATATAGCTGAAAAAAAAAATTGCAAATTAAAATCTCTAAAAACAACATCTAATAGTCATTTGCTAAAGGGTTTTCATTGACAACCAAGAAGAAGAAAAAAGTTTTCAAAAAGCAAAAAGTTGACAAAACAATATGCATCTCTAGAAATTTTGAGAAAATTATTTACAAAATGAAATAAAATAAAATAAATCAGTAGATTCTTGATTTTAGGAGACTAAATCAGTAGAATCCTACAAAAAGACTCTTCATTGATATCCTCTTTTGTGAAATGGTGATAAAAGATCGAAGTAAAGGCTCGGATTTTTTATCTAAATTTATCGTTCAACTTCCAGTTCGAATAATGCTGCAATCATATATATACGAATTTTCTTACAACTTTCTTGGTTAATTTCCATTCGCAAAACTATAACAATGTATAATTCGGAACGAATGGACGATTACTAGCCTTCTGTCACATTGAATCATATTTTTTTTTCCTACGAAAAGCATATAAGTCTCGGCCAACACTCCCTTAAAAGGCTACATACTTCGGTTTTTCCTGAACGAGCAACAGAATAAAACAAGAAAAATACTCGA